ATCTCAAAATTTTAAAGAGAGAACTACTTATATATATATGCCAAAAATAAGGGTAAGTACTATGAAGGGATAGAATATGACTCTAAAAATGAGAATAAAAATGTTTTTTAAAAAGGGATTGGTAAGATGTTGGTTAAAAAGGGAAAAAGAAAAATTAAAAAAAAAAAAGTTAAAAAAAAGAAAAAAAATTAACTTTGAAAGACTAAAGAATCATGGTAAAAAAGCCATGAATTCTATGTGCAGTATTCCCCTAGCTCTGGAGTTTTGCCGTTCTCATTGATCGGTAAACTTGGTCTTGGCTGTCTGTTCTTGCTGATCTTCTGGGGGAGGGACCTGTTGCCGTGGTTCCCAAATGTCTTTGCCGGAGGCGGAATTGCCCCTCCCTTGTTGGTCCGGGCTAAGTAATCTGCTTGGGTTTGCTCTCGGGAGCTTTTGTTCCCTGCAAGCTTTCCGTACAGCTTTGGAGGACGAGAGTGAGATGGTGGCCTCCCAATGTCCGCCCTGGAGGAGCTCAGAACTCGGGGCCCCGCTCCTCAGTGCACCCCCAGAGAAAAGCAGTCAATCACTCCCGTTTCCCCGGTCTCTGGCAACACTCCGTGCTCACCCGGCCTGTGCCTGAGCATTTCTATCTCTGGCACATGACCCTGTGTGGAGTCTCCAAACCCAGCAGATCCCTGCAGTGCGCTCCTGCACCACTCCTCCCGGGGGAAGATGGGGGGTCTCCCCGCATCTGCTGTTTTTTGGGTCCCTGCTGGTGGTGCAGTGGGCCGACTGTGCCAGGGATCACAGTTTATGGCAACCCCGAGCTTAGAGCCCGCTCCTGGGCTCTGTCTCTGCAGCCGGCTTCCCTGCTCTGATACCTGGGAGCTCTGCGGCACTCAGACACCCCCGGTCTTTCTGTGACCCCGAGGGTCCTGATACCACACTGTCCCATGAGGGTTCCACCCCCCGCTTAGCCACTGGAGTGACATCCCTCAGCGGAGCAGACTTCTAAAAGTTCCGATTTTGTGCTCCGCGGCTCTATCACTTGCCAGAAGCAGCCGATGGAGGCTCCCTCCTGCGCCATCTATCCTCCCGAATATCGCCTTGGATTCACTTCTCCACATGTCCTACCTTCCAGAAAGTGGCCACTTTTCTGTTCAGAGAGTTGTTGCTATTCTTTTCTTCGATCTCCTGTTGAGTTCATAGGTGTTCAGAATAGTTTGATCCCTATCCAGCTGAATTCCTGGGACCAGACAAAATCCAGGTCTCCTACTCCTCTGCCATCTTGCTCCGCCCCCTGCCTTTTAGTTTTGCTGATTGTTTCCTTCACTGTGCAGAAGCTTTTTTTTTGATGTAGTCCCAACAGTTTATTTTTGCTTTTGTTTCCCTCATCTCAGGAGACATATCTAGAAAGAAGTTGCTACAGCTTGTGTACTCTCCCAAGATTATTATGGTTTCAGTTCTCACATTTAGGTTTTTAATCCATTTTGAATTTATTTTTATGGTGTAAGAAAGTGGCCCAATTTCATTCTTTTGCATGTTGCTGTCTAGTTTCCCCAACACCATTTATTGAAGAGACTGTCTTTTTCCACTGGATATTCTTTCCTCCTTTGTTGAAGATTAGTTGACCATAGAGTTGTGGGTTCATTTCTGGGTTTTCTATTCTGTTACACTTATCTATGGAGACACTGAGAAATTTTAAAAGTAGCCCACGTGAGCACAACTAAGACAGTATTAAGGGTAACAAAGTGCTGAGGTAAAAAGTCTCTTTTTAAAGTTGCAGCAATTAAAGATTTCTGAGAGCTGAAGAGCTGCAACCTGACTTGTAATTCACATATGTAGCTTATATCCTCTTAACTGATCATTTTAAAATGGCCAATTGTTACAAATCCAAAAGGGATCACATCCTATATGGCTGAGGAATCCCATCCCCCATGACTATGTATGGTACCACCACTCTTTTTGCTGTAGTTCAGAGACATTCATGAGTAGATGAAACATTTCCAATGTAAAGTATAATTCTTATTAAATTCATTAAAATGGTAGTGCTGATTGGAATTTGTATTATCTGATTAAAGTGCCACCTACTGGGGCCCCTGGGTGGCTCAGTTGGTTACGTGTTTGTCTTTGGCTCAGGTCATGATCCTGGGGTCCTAGGATAGAGCCCTGCATTGGGCTCCTTGCTCAGAGGGGAGTCTGCTTCCCCCTCTCCCTCTGCCTGCTGCTCCCCCTGCTTGTGTTCTCTCTCTCTCTGTGTCAAATAAATAAATAAAACCTTAAAAAAAAAAGTTCCACCTACTTTGGAATTTTGCTAAGAATCCCTTAGAACCTCTCCCTGTCTTACACGATCCATCTTTAATTCACATGTTCCATAATAGTGTAGTAAGGAGTTTATATAGGCACACAGGAAAGTTAAAGTTTTCTAGCTTCTATATGAGCTTCCATTCATCTTTGTATGTAAGGATAAACACTTCTGAGACACATCATCCATCAGATGACATGTAATTCAAAATTTTCTTTTTGTTTTCTTGTTTTGTTTTGTTTTGTTTTGGGGGGGTAGTAAGTACAGTTTTTATTTCTGTCCTTTAGCTCAGTTGCTTAGATACAACAAAAATACAAGTGAAAATCCAAACAAGTATTTCCTTTCTGTTCTGATAACCATGTGAAGCCTGGAAGGCTGCCTCTGGAATTTCCCTTTCTGTTCTGCCAGGTGGCCTCCCTCCTCCCCCCCCCCCCCTCCCCCCCCATTTATTACTTATGTATTCTCCTGATGTTCTTTCAACATCATGATTATTTTCAAGCAAACATATACATTTCATTTTCTCCAAATTATTAACTCCTTTTTCATCATCCATCTCCAAGCTCCTTAAATGTTTGGAAATTGGTAGTTCAGTTTCTTCATATTCCAGTAGTACTTCTTATTATCCAAAGCTGGAAGGAAGCCACTGCTGGTCAGCTGAGGTAGGCCCTGCAACCCAGGCAGGTGCTTTCGGCTCTGTCTCAGGGTCTTCCTTACCGGTCGGTCAAGCTCTTTGGCCTAAGCCCCCATTTCTCTGATGCTGTCAAAATACGGATGCTGTAACAGCTGTTCACATGTCAGTCTCTCAGCAGGATTCATGTGGAGACAGCCCTTTAAGAGCCCCAGGGCAGGATAAGAGATGTTTGGAAATTTTAATTCCAGTGGTTCCATATCTTCACTGTCTGGAATTTTCACCCCACTGAAGTACTGATTCGTGCTAAACACTTGTTGGTGCCTAGGAATGAGATCTCCCAAGGTCTTCCTGATTAGACAGAGCTGATCTACATCTGATTTTCCTGGCCACAGAGGCACCCCTGACAGCAGCTCAGCAAAGACACAGCCAACTGCCCAAACATCCACTGGGGGGCCATACTGCGTGTCCCCCACCAAGAGTTCTGGGGAGCGGTACCACCTGGTGGCCACGTAGTCTGTGTAGTAGTCACTCAGTCCAGTCAAAAGCCGAGCAAATCCAAAGTCACAGAGCTTAATCACTGAATGTTTTGTGATGAGGATATTTTCTGGCTTCACATCTCTATGTATGCACTCTGGGGAGAGTCCCTAGATGTCAGCTCTGTCCCACACACCAGAGTTCTTAGAGCTTAGAGAGAATGACTTTTAATCAAATATATGTATAAATCCCTATATATTTAAATAAAGGATTTTGACATCTCCATAGATAATTTTAGTTGATATTTTTGTAGTTCTGCCTTTTTTATATTTCACCCCATGATTCCTTTTACATTTAAATTTAAATGTGCTATTTTATTTAACCATTTTATTTTGAGGAAATTGAATATTCATATTCATTAGTGAGAAATAATACCAGAGTTCTTAAGCACACTTTACTTAATTTTTCCAATGGTAACACCCTGCAAAACCATACCAGCATATTGATTTTGAGACAGTGAAGGTATAGAACATTTCCAGCACCACAAGAATCCCTCATATTGCCCTTTTATAGCCACACCCACTTTCCTTCCACTTTTACCTTTTCCTTAAAACCCATCAACCACAGGGGCGCCTGGGTGGCTCAGTTGGTTAAGCGACTGCCTTCGGCTCAGGTCATGATCCTGGAGTCCCGGGATCGAGTCCCGTATCGGGCTCCCTGCTTGGCAGGGAGCCTGCTTCTCCCTCTGACCCTCCCCCCTCTCGTGTGCTCTCTGTCTCTCTCATTCTCTCTGTCTCAAATAAATAAATAAAAAAAAATCTTAAAAAAAAAAAAACCATCAACCACGAATTTGTTCTCTATTTTTATCATGTTGTCATTTTAAGCATGTTATAAAAATGGAATCATATAGTATATAAACATTTTGGTTACATTGGCATTTTTTTACTCATCACAATTCTCTGGAGATACACCCACATTGTTACATTTATCAATGGTGCATTCTTTTTTACTTTATTCCATGGTATAGATGTACCACATTTGTTTAACCATTTATCCATTAAAGGACACCTGAGATTTTTTTCAGCTTTTGGCTATTACAAATACAATTGATTTGTTTTAAAAACTCATCCCAACTCTTGAGTGGATAATGGACTACAATGAGCAAGAATGGAAGCAGAGAGACCCAGAGGGAGGTCGTGACAGTCAACTCTATCACAAATTCGGCCACCACAATAGGAAGATTCTTTATGCTGGATCTTGTGGGCACAGGTGACCAACCAGGCTATGTAAGAAGTCTAGTCTCTCTCTAGTCTATGGTAATTAACTACTACTCCCTTTCATAATTTACTTTGGGCAGTTATTTCCCTTGAGGAGAAAAACATAGGCAGTGAAGCCTCTATGTTTCCTGCTTTGAGGCAGACAGAACTTAAAATCAAAACATCTTATATTTAATTGCCAAAATTAATGTGAAAGAGAACAGCAAAAATTTTTGGAAAAAAATTCCCCAAAATCAAAGACATGAAAATGTCAGCTGGCTCTTATAAATATGGTTTTAATAATGTATATTATATTAAAAAAATGAAATTAGACTTGGGATCTTTCCCCATGAAGGCTTGAGTAATTACCAGTCACAGTTATTTTTTCTCTTGAGCTCTAGGCAACCAACACTGTAATCTGTACTCTAGTCTCATCTATATTACATGTGAGAAGTGTTAGGTCAATGTCTTATTGAAATAAATTTTAGGAAAGGCCATATTTCCTGCCTGATACATGTCTTTTGTTAATAATATTATGCTGGAATAACTTAATAGCTGTTATTATGGAGATAATTCCAAATCTCTTTTTCTGGTTGTGAGAAAATTGATGCCTACCATCTTTGGAAAATTATTTTCTGATACAATTTTGTTCTTCATCCCTGTTATTGGGCTTTTAAACTATTTTAAGAAGTGTATTTGCAGCTACACTCATCATGGAATGTGAAAGGTCTATGTTTTAGAGTTACTTCACCCTTCTTCCCAATGGGATTTCTCATACTTCTTAATTGTAATCCTTTACATGTCATTTTATGTATGAAATCAACTCTGAAACAACTTAAATAGTAGCTTCTAAGATTACCTTTAGTGTTTTGGTAGAGAAAAAAGTCTTTCCTATATTTTCTTTTGTAGTTTCCCTTTATCATATGAAGGAAGTTTTCTCTATTCTTAGTATTTTCACATAATTTTCACATGAATGAGTACTAATTTTCAACAAGTAATTTTTTTTTATTTTTCTGTGATGATTATACATTTTGTATTTAATCTTATTAATATAATTAGTTAAACTGGTTGATTTTTCAAATGGGAAAACAATCTTAAATACCTGGAATAAAAACTACTTGATCATAATGGCTTACTATTGATTAGTATTGTTTAATTGAGCATTTTTGCATGTGTATTTATAGAATATACTGGCTTTAAAGTGCCATTTTCATAACATGCCAGATTTTTAAATCAATAGTGTGTTGATCTCAAAGATTAGTTGAGAAGTACTCTTTTTCTATTCAAGAAAGAATAAGTGTAAAGTTGGTATTGTTTCTTCTTTAAATATTGATAAAAATTGTCCTGTGAATCCATCTTGTTTAGGTGTTTTTGGCTTTGCTGTTGTTGCTTTTATTGTCATTGCTGCTGATGTTTTAAGTTTTTTAATTATAAATTTAAGTTCCTTCACAGACATAGAGTATTCACTTCTGAAAAAGTTCTTCATAATGTTGACAAATTTTGTTCCTTAAATAATTTGACCATTTTAGGGGCAGCTGGGTGCCTCAGTCATTAAGCATCTGCCTTCAGCTCAGGTCATGATCTCTGGGTCCTGGGATTGAGCCCCAAATCGGGCTCCCTGCTCAGTGAGGAGTCTGCTTCTTCCTCTGTGCTTTCCCACAATTTCTCTCTCTCTCTCTCTCTCTCTCTCAAATAAATAAAAAAGAAACTTAGAAAAAAGAAATTTGACCATTTTATATAAAGTGTCAACTTCACTGGCACAAAGCTTTTCATACTATCCTTTGTATATCTTTTCAATTATGTAAAATCTATACTGATGTAACCTTTTTATTCATTTGTTCTCCATGCTTCTTACACCTTTTTTCATTATTTTCTTCTTATTATTTTTTTTCTGTGTTTCAGTTTGGAAATTTTATGTTAACCTAACTTCAACTTTACATATCCTGTATTCTATTTTCTATTGAACCTAGCTAATGAGTTTTATTTTCCAATTTTTTTTTTCAGTTCTAAAACATTCATTTAATTCTTTATGGATATTGATTCTCTATTGAAAACTGCCATCTTTTATTCACTTGATCCAATCATTCTCTATTTTCTTCACATATTAGTCACAGTCATATTAAATTCCTCATATGCTAATTCCAATATCTGGGTCATCTGGGAGTCTACTTCTATTGTATGTTTTTTTTCTTCATTTCTATAATGTCACATGATTTCTGCCTCTGCACATCCAATAAATTAAAAAATATTATGGCAGACATGATGCATAATAGAAGTGTAGAGGCTCCAGTGATGTTTCTTTCCAGAGATAGTCCCCCTCTCTTTTATTTTTTTTAAGATAAAATGAGGGTCAGCTCTCCCCAATCAATATGGGATATACCAACTGTACTAAGATTTCATATATCTCTGGACAATGTTTTTTATACACATTTTTCCTATCCTTTTGGCTGTTAATCTAATGATGCTTAGTCTTCTTATTCTTGAAAGATTGAAGGAGTTTCAGTTATACTCTTCTGACATTTTGACATTAGCTCTTATTTTCACACAATCTTGTTGCTTCAACACTGGCAAATATCTGAATGATAATATTAGATGCATGTCTGAAGCAGACATCTTCATAGTGAGAATTTTCCTATGAAGTTTGGTAATATTATAGGAGATTTTAATCTACTTTTAATGTGGTCCTACAGTGTCCATGCACAGACCCACAGTAGAAGAATGAAGAAACTGGTTGTTGACTCAGGTTTCTCAAGATTCTATATTGTCACCTCAGGCACACATGACAACCAAAGATTTGCTGGTTTATTATTCACCCAGTATTCTATATTTTCTTGGGCCAGATCTGATTTCATTCCGTACATAGGATCAGCAAATGCTTCAGGGAAGAAATCAGCAAGAAACTTTCAGTTGTCTTTGAAAGGATCTCTCTAGAATTGCATTCATTTAGTCTGTTTCTTTCATTGTCATCTTTTTTTTAATTAAGATTTTTATGTTACTCATTTTATATTTTCTGTATATTGAATCCTCAATGATTTCAGTGACCTTCCCTGGAAGAAAAGTCCTCTACTTGGACCTTAAATTCTGGTATTTATCAGAGTTTAAACCAAGGCCCACTTTATATTCATTAGTTTTTCTATGTTTTCTCATCTTCTTGAGACTCTTAAAATCATTTTTCCAGTCAAAATCCCTTTTCTAAGTTATAGAATGTTACACAAAACTATTTACTTAGCCTCTTGGGTGTTACAAAAGGACCTCAAATTTAAGTCCAGAACTGACCTTAATACCCCTTAAACATGCCCTCTTCAACAGTCTGGTGAATGATACCAAACATTAAATTGTGTGAATTAGAATCATATGAGTTATCCTTGCTATCTCTTTCTACACAGTTTTCTGTATCTAGTGCACTGCAAATTACTGATGATTTTACCACATAGGTATCTTTTTAATCTACTCAGTTTATTATATCTGTATTGCTGTCACTGCTATCGCTTACCTCTTCAGTAGAGAGTTGCATAGCCTCTTCATTTGTGCCTTCTTCCAATTCATTCTTAGGAGATTGACTTTTTTTTTTTTTTCCACAAAGCTAACTCTAACTTTGTCACTTTGCTTAAAATTTTTTGGTAACTTCCCATTTTTTATAAGTATGCCCAACATCCTTAGTAAGGCTTTTAAATCCCCACCTATATATTCAGCTTCTTTTTGCAAGTGCCTCTCTTTCATGGTCTATTTTCCATCCACACTGGAACTAAGAAGAGATTAGCATAATTATCCCAGAATATTTTGAAATAAATGCTAGACATCATATTTCATTAATAAATGTCTGCATGAACCTCTCATTTATAGATATCTTTTAAAATACCACAGAAATTATTTTTAAATCTAAAATTATGAATACTCAATATTTTCTTAGTAGAATCAAATGTGTACTCAGCGCCCACCACATCCCACTTTGTTTGAATCAGAATCAAGATAATGTCCATACATCTATGGAGACTCTTTTAATATATTGATTCCCTATACTATTTTTGTCATTAATTGTTAAATAAATTTAGTTTATTTGCTCTGTAAAGTCTTCTGCAGTCTGAATGTTGCTGAATACATCCTCGTGGTGTTGTTTAACATGCTAACATTTTCCCTATATTATCTTCTCCTATATTTAGGGGAAGTTTAGAGGCTTAGTTTTAGAGGCTTTTTCAGATCCACATTCAGTTTTTGGCAAGAAGTATATTGTAACTGATCTTATGTACTTCCATTGGGAAATACATAATTTCTAGTTGTTTCTATTTTTGGAAGCACAATATT